AAATTTTAGTAGTGAGGATTGGAACTTAGATTTGATTCGACGTAAAATGTTTTCATGACAATTTAGTTAGCATCGAATTGAGATAAATTGAATCATATCACACAATACAAATATAATATTTATATATTTTTTTGTTGAATGGGGTGATGAAAAAAATAAATTGTTGAATGGGTAGATAAATTGAATCATGGATAATTGAGATTGATTTGGAATGGGTACATGCAGTTATATATAAGATTACATGGAGTAAATTAATCTATTCCCTACCTTTTGTTTTCACGTGTAATCCACTGGAATTGTATTGATTGAAAATGGATCGGAATTTATATAAAAAAAATGCATCGGAATTATTTACTTGGAATCCTTGTTAAATCTAAACTAGTGCTGTAGTGCATGCCAGCCACCTGTGTTGGAATTGAAGCAACTGTTTTTCACACCAATAATGTTTAGGGTAAGTGTTAAACTGTTAATGATTTCTTTTTATGTGTAGTATTATTATTAATTATCATTATTATATGCTCCATTAGCCCATTATTATTAATTTTAATGGAAGGGATCTTGATTAGATAGTGGTGGAGACTTTGTTAAGCACTTGAGTGTCCAACCCTCCAATTGTGCATTCATCTCATGGTCATGCATATAGAAGGAAAAATGTTTAAACCATAATCCGTCTAAGCTCTTAAACTATTCATATTTTCAATTAATTGCATCATCAAGTTTCAATTTGATCATTTGGATCCTCTATGACACCCATTTTCCATATTCAATGAACTAAGCGATTTCAATTAGCAGCTCAATGGTATAGATATTGGTTTTAAAACTGGAGATCTCTACATGAAACTGTGCAGCCACAGTCTCACAAATTATTAAAAAAAAAATCACATGAAATATAAATGTCAAATTATGCGTATCTAGTCGCTAATTATTACATCGATAATAATAATGATCACGGTTCACATTAACTTCAACCAGCAGTACATGGTTACTTAATACGAACAAGGTTCACAAGGATTTTTAACAACTAATAACTAATCCTATAGAATGACAAAGAAATCCATGAGAAAAGAGGACTTAAGAAGATGGAGACAGAAAGAGTGTTTTGGATGTGGACTTTTACTTTGTAGCCATGGAAGCATCACTCAAGAGTCAAGACCATATGAGGAATTGTTTTTTATTTTATTTTATATATTTAATGTTTTTTTGGAAAGGTTGAAAAGTTGAAAGGAGTTACATAGTGGGTAGTGGGGATGTATGAATATTGAATTGGGAGACAAGATCTTTGGTATTATGGAGCCATGTCTTTGGTAGCTAGGTCTTCCTTTTCCCCTCTTTGTTCTTTCTTTCTTCCCTTTTTTATTTATTTTTATGTGAATGGACATCACAGTGCAATGATATGTGTAAATTTGATAGCAAATGGAGGTCTGATTTTATAATTGCCATATGGTACTAGCTAGAGAGAGAGCTCATGATTCAATAACAAAAGAGAGGATAGGGAGAAGAAGAAGTATGGGTTTGAACTTTTTTCAAAGAACAGCTAACCTTTAGCTTTTAACATTCTCTCTATCCCTCTACTCTACTCTACTAAAGGTCCAAGCAAGCAAATATCATATAAGGTCAGTGTGTCCCTACCTCCAATAATTGTAGAATAATAGGAGTAAACATACCCAATTTGCCCTACCATTTCTTTTGTGCAAAATCCTAACTAGTATTCTCAAGATGTAGGCATGTTTCATTCCAATAAGACATCTTAGTTTACCCGATCTACACTTCTGACCTAACAACAGTTAAAACTAGTTTATTCGACTCAACCATACGAAGTTAACCATTCATATTACTACATTAAGTCTAGAATTCTGAGTTATAACTAATCCTCTCTAATTTTTTTTACTAGTATGATCATAGTTTAAATACGGATTATGATTCCCAAATGAAAGCCACAAACTTAGGACAAGTTTTACACCTCTTGTTCATAGGCTGTCTATCATTCAATATCATTTATTTCCATTCTTAAATTGTAATTGCCAAAACTGTGAACTTTAAGCTATGCCTAGTATTAGTATAGAAGAGACTACAAAGTCTACAACCTCTCTTCAGCCTTTGGTATTCGATTATAGTATGCATATCCGATCCATATATTGAATTGCTTCTTTTCCCCCACCCTTTTTTCTGTTTGTTGTTTGTTAATGAATGGTTTTTGAGCGTTTCTTTCTTTCTTCTGTTCTGCCTCTCTAAGTCACAGCCTGTAAAGCTTAAAAGACAATGGAAGTGTAAGACGGGAGGGACCAATTCTAATTAGGACGATTTTTTGTTTTGTGGTTTTCATTTGCCTTCTTCTTCTTCTGTAGTGTTCCCGTCCTCCATGGTCAGTCAGGGCAAAGGTCCTATCTAGCAGTGACTTCTTTTTGTTTTATGTACCAGAAATAATACAAAAATATAAATAAATGATTGAAACCCACAAAAATTGAAAAGAGAAGGACATCATTATTCATATGGGGGAGGCTGATGCTGCAGTGAGGCATGCAATAGCAATGCAATGGCCCCCATTTTATTACTACTTTTCATGACTTTTTACATTATGTATGCATGGAAGCAAGCAAGCAAGTCTCAATCTTGAAACATTCAACTGTCCTGTTGACTGCCTCTGTGAAATCCATTTACCTGAATGTTATCAACCCGATGAAAGTCTGAAGTTCTCCTCCAACCAATACTAAATCAATTCAATTATTTGATTTTCTTCTCAATAACACAACACTTTCAGTAAAGCCGGAGATGGTAGGCAATACCCCATAACCAAAATTTGTTTCAGGCTAACACAATATGATAGAACCCCACTAGATTTACAGAAGGGAGGTAGGAAAGGAAGAGTGTCGTGACACCAGCTAGGGAAAGAAGAGGGAGAGGGTCTGCTGGAGGAAGGAGAAAGAAAAGGATTAGAGACTCAATTACGTTTTGTAATTTTGCTTAGTGGGGTAATTCTCACTCTACACATGTTTATATAATTCACTAATTCCCAAATGCTATTCTAAATTATTAAAATCCACAAAGAACTCCACTAATACCCAACAAACTCATAAAGAATAATAAACCGACAAAATGGTCCAAATACTGAAATCATGACTGTTTATGTTTCTATCATCCCCGTCTCTTTGGAATGACATGACCTCAAGGTTAAATGCCAGCTTCTGGGGTCTCTTTCAGCCATCTTGTCTTTCGTTTCATCCTCTCAGCACCCCACCAGCAACATCAAGTTTGGCTTCGCACACTGGTGGCCGAACGTGAACCCCTCGTTGCAGTTAAAACACTTGTCTTCCCGCTTGTTCTGCTCAATTTTCGTCGGAGTCAGTCTGGCAAACCCCTTGGGCTGAGCCCTCAGCACGGGTCGAGCCACTGCTAATGTTGCTGCCATGGTCGCACTAGCTCCTACACCTGCTATAGTTGGCGCGCCGCCTACACTATCACCCACGGTGCCGCCACTCCCTCCTCCACTAAGGCTCTGGTAATGGCCTATGGTGCTCCTCCAGCTCGCTATCTCCTCCTTCTTGCGACTTGCAAGACGAAAAGAAGTCCTCAAGGACTCTGGCTCAAAGATCATGACCGCTCCTGCGATCTCTAGCCTCAGACCCGCCATACACAAACCCACCACGTCTCTTCCGGCACCCCTTTGCACTGGTTGCCCAAACTAAGAAACTCCACCCTATTCTCAGCCACGATCCCTATCTGCCTAAGCTTAGCCAGCTGCTCCGACGTCGAGCCTTCATATTTGCAAAACTGGTACCAGAGGTATTCCTGAAACCTCGACCAGGTGATCATGGTCTCCTGCTTCGCAAAGTATCTTTTCAACCACTCTCACCATTGCAGAGCATCTCCTTCCAAATAGAAGAATGCTAGGTGCATACAACCATAATCCTACATTCTCTTAACCATTGAATTTTGAAAACTCAACGGTCAGGGTTTGACCCTGAACACAAGATCATCATCACCATGATAATACCCACCGTACATGTCCATGCCGGAAGGTCCCCCAAGATAGCTACAGGGGATCTGTGGCTCTCCCCATTGTCCCCATGCTTCCTCCTCTTCCTCGAGGTATACCGATCCAGTCCAGCCTGCTGCCCTTGTCCTATCTCCCACGCCCTGCTAGGTTGATGCCCTGCAGCCCGAGGAGTCGCGAAAGGATTATAAGAATTAAGAAGCACCTGTCTCGCCTTGTAGTCCTCCCCAGCTTGCTGACCACCTTTTGCCTGCTCCCACCAATTGTTGTTCTGGTCGGTTTGGGATCAAACCAGTTCGACCCATTCCGGTGTGTCCAATTCATTTTGGGTCTACCCCGTCCATCAGAACCGATCCTCCGGCTCGACCCTGCTCTTCTCGTTCCATCAAGCTCACCCCCTCTTCCTCTTGGGCGCCGTCAAAGCCCATCCAACCTAGCCTAGGGTAGCTCCCCACTTGCCCAGCCTCCTCTTTTTCCGTCGTCGGCACAGCAACTAGGGATGGCTATTTGGTCCGGGTTTTTTGGTTTTACCCGAAACTGGACCGTATAACCCAAACCAGGACCGGATAGTAAACTATCCAATCCAATTTTTGGGCTTAGGTTTGAGGTAAAAAACCGTTCGGGACCGAATCGAAAACTAGATAAAGACTGGATAAGAGAGCTCAACACCCAAAACTTAAGGGTAATTTGCATAAAGGGTTGCAAACCTTTGCACTTAGTACAAAACTTAACCAACTCCTCACCCTTTCAGGCCTTAGGCCACTCAAATCCCCACTAGCTCAATATATAATCAAGATCGAATTGGAACCGGACCGAATCAAGACCGGACTGTATCCAATCCAATCTTTGATCCTTATATTTTCAAAAAGATCGCACTGGACCAGATCAATTTGGGCCAATTTAACCGGACCGAATCGTATAGCCACCTCTAACAGCAACCCCGAGCTCGGATCTTGGACCACAATATCGTTGATTGGTTGTTTCGCCTTCATACTATGACATCTATCTCTTAAGGTGTCAGAGTCGGTAGCAGTTCCGACCCAAAGGAGACGTGGCCCGCACGATCCCCGACTCCCCACCCTAGGTCAGCCTTCACCGTCGTACTTCCCACCTCTATCGCACTTCCCGTATGCGCCGCCGTCGGGTGCCCTAGCCCCGTACAGCTGCGAGGTCCAGCCTCTACCACGAAATCACCGTCGCGCCTCTTGGCCGTCTCGTCTCGTGCACGTGCCAGCATCCAGAATCTGGTCTCTAACGCTGTCACACCTCCTGCTTTCCCTGGGACCAGAATCCCAGATTGCTCACCCTTGGTGTGGCCGGTTGGCGGCTTGTTCATTCTCTCTATCAGGTCTCTCACCGCCTCGCGGAGATCCCTGAGCTCTCTGCTCATCTCCGCTTGTCTTTCACCTAGGTCTGCGATCTCCTTCTTCATCTTGTCAACTTCTGTGCACAGCACCTCTATGTCCTTCAAGTCTTCCTAAGCTCCGTCGACTTGCGATGCAGAGCTCTACTCTTGCGCAGCTTTTTCCTAGGCAACCTTCTCGACTGTCTTCTCTGCAATAGTAATCGATTGTGTCATTGCCATTGCTCGCTTACGTTCACCAGACTCACACCAAATGATAGAACCAAAGATTTGCTTCTATCTAGAGATTGGAATTTAGGAAATCAATTAGAGATTGATCTCCCCTTTTAGAACTTGGGAATGGGGATTGGAGAGGAGATTTAGGGGGGGGGGGGGGGGGGGGGGGGGGGAGAGAAGAGTGTTGCGGCAAAGAGGGAGAGGGTCGACTAGAGGAAGGAGAAAGCAAAGAAAGGGATTAGAGACTTAATTAGATTTTGTAATTATGCTTAGTGGGATAATTCTCACTCTCCACATATTTATATAATCCATCAATACCCAACAAACTCATAAAGAATAATAAACCAACAAAATGGTCCAAATACAGAAATCAAGGGAATGTTTATGTTTTTATCACAATAACATAATCATATTTTTTGGTAAAAAAAATAAATCTAATATGTCGAACACAAAATAATAATCATTCTTAACTTTTTGTTCAATTTTTTTATTCAATTTTGACATTTTCGTAAGGGTAAATCCTATTTTTTATCCAAATCTTTTTCAGATTCTTTTATATTATTCAACCTTATTAAAATGCTATTAATTACTCAAATATTTCGTAATGCATAAAAATATTAACCATTTTTATGTTATCATTAATAATTTTGTAACTCTTTTTTAGTAAAAATACGAAAATTCTGGAATGTTGACCTTCATGTGTCTATTCCAAGTCAGTATCATATTGTCAAGTCAATACTACTAACAAAATTGCTAACTGAAAATTAATATTTGGTTAATTCTTAGTATTTCGATAAGTTTGGATAATATAAAAGAATATGAAAATAGTAGATATTACCTTTCCGTTATGATTAGGTGGCTATTTGAGAAGTTGAAAAAATGAGCTAGTGTGAATGTGTGATCGACAATAATTTACTGCCATATATAAAAATCTTCATCCACCACCTCTCTTTTTCTTCTCTTCTTCCTCTACCTCCCACCAGGCACTGGCCTGCTCTATATTTGACACTTCTATAGATTTGAGTCTATTCTAGTATTTTGTTGCATTGATCCTTCCTTTTATGCCAACAAATTACTTCTCTTTGAGAATGAATCTAGATAAATTTGTCCTAACTTCATATAGTTAGTTATGCCAAAGTTTATGGGTGGCTTGGCTTGTTAGATTTAGGTGATAGATTTGTAGGTTTAAAAACACATGGCTTGACAGTAAAATGAAATAGTTTCAAAGAAATATTTATAATTTTTCAATCATTGATATCCGATAAGATGATAAATTACCAGAATGTCCGCGACACGAGCACACACCTACTGTATTTCAAATTGGTGTCTCCATGGGTATGGACATGATGATGCTTGGAATATCTCCAAACTAGCTAGAATTTATTAATGTCACAGGACATGAGAGCATATTTATATGACAAATGCATTTAATTTAAGCACCAACTTATTATATATATATACCCCTTACCCATCATGTAGGTTTACATGTCACAGCTGATCAATGGCTGGAAAGCCTATAAATTTCAATTAAATCTATTTCAATAAATGCAAACATGTATATCACACTTGCATTTCCTACATTTGGAAAATGTTATAATGATTATAATTCTTTCTCCTCAGTAGAATTTTGGGTTTTGATAAATATAAGTGGGCCAACACTCAACTAGAAATGTCATACTAATGTTTCACTTGTGTAGCTAATTGAGAAGTATAACATAAGAAAGATTAGAATTATTATGATGGCAGAGATTACTGCGAGAACAAGACAATCATCATATTATATAATCTGTTCATATATATAATAGTGGTTGAGATATCAATATCAATTAACAGACTTGTCTTCCCATGCATGTACACATTTTAGTTTTTGATAGTACGTAGCAATGATGTGTTTTTGTTATGTCGTACTGAACACTACATTTATTCATCAGTTGTTAGGGCTACTTAAATATACATTTCAATTATATACCCATTAGTATATCAGTAATGTACAGTGACTATATCTTTATTGATAGAGTGATTGGTGGTGCACATATCTCATACAAATTGCGAACGCAATAGGGTTGTTGATTAGCTCTTGAAGTAAATTATCGCCTACCTATTCAGATTGCACAAGTTTGAAAATTCTGCTCCTGCCTTAGTCATGATCACAAAGGATGCTATGAGCGGCGTTGCTTTCAAATGTCAAATATTTGATTAGCAGGTCTCATCCGTCCTTTCAGTCTTTCTCTGAACCAATCTTCTTAGGTGTGTTTTACGCCTCCCTTGTTTTAAAAAAGAAATCCAGATGACCATAAAGAATGTAGATTGTAGAGTAGCTAGCATTGTGGATAAAAAGAATGTTTGACATTAATTCATCTACACCAATGTACATGACTCACATAAAAGTTCACTTCTCAAACAATCACAACAACCACAATTATAAGTAGCTAAAATTCTAAGAAACATTAATAACCCATTTGCTCACTTGCATTAAATAACCAAACAAAAAAAAAATCCTTTCATACATGAGATTATAGAACCATGAAGATGCATGTGAAAGAAGTTTCTACTACTCAGACAGTCAGACTACACCACCACCAAACTCAATAATTGAATTGAACCACATCCCAATATAATTTCTCACTAGTTACAAAAATAAAAACATGTAAAAATGGGTGGGAAAAATACTAAAATACACAACAAAAGATATGGAAATTTATGGGGTTGGAGAGGAGGGTGGGAGGGGAGGGTATTGAATAATTAAGAGCCTCATGCAGCTGGTATGGTCCTTGTTGTTCTTGAGCAGAGCAAGTCTTTCTCAGGCTGGCCCCCAATGGTTATACTAGTTAGTGCAGATGAGATCAGATTCAGAAACAGAACACCAAAACGAAGGGTCCCTCTCTCTCTCTGCTTCTTTCTCTCCCTTCCAATTCAAACATCCAGGTCAATTTATATAGATGGTCACCATACTTTAGAGTCGCTGATAAATCAAACACCGAACTTATGATTTTGATGCAGTTGGGTTGTGTATGAAGTTTCAATTTGTATTAGTGTGCTTCATGAATCATCTACTTAGTCATTGGATAGGAAGAGAAAGCAAATAGGACAGATTTTCAGTATCATGGTTTGGAATTGGATCGAGTAATGAGTTTCGGTTGGATTGATTGTTGGTTACTCCAAAGGGAAATTCATGTAAGCTAATTAGGGTTTATGTGTATTTTGTCTTGTTATCAATGTAGACAAATTGATATGCTAATTAATATATATGGATTATGTAGACGAAAAATCTAAGGCAGGCAAATATTGGCCTGTTTTGTTAATTATTCTAGAATTTGTAGATTGGTATGTAAGCAAATCAAAGTTAAGTAATCAAATTGTTAGTACGATAAAATCTAGTACCGTATATATACAATTTTACCATGAAAGCATGCTGTTAAATGATATTTTAACCTATGTCAAACCAGTTTTGCTATTGCACATCCATTGCGTGAATCAAGTAATTGTGCTAAATGTGAGAGATAAATGTTTTTCCCCCCTTTTCCTTTTTGCTTCTCTTCTTCATCAAAGAGTACCAAATGCGCATCCAATGCAATGGAGAGAAAAATGTGTGGTGTGGGGATCTTTTATGGGTATGTATAGAGCATAATTTCAAGTGGTCACAATCTGCTTATAAATTCCATGCATGCAATGCCAAGTTGTTATTTATTTTTAATAGTCAAGCCAAATCTGCAAATTCAAAGAACAATCAATATCATCAAGTGGTGTTGGTTGGGTTTGTGCTGCACCTATCTCTTTCTTGATTATAAAACATGGTTGTATTTTCTTTTACCCTTCCATATATTCAATGCAGTTGTGCCTATACAGAGATAGGTTGTCCCCATAGGAAGGTAATATGAAATCTGCATATGTAAGATAAGGTGAAACTTCAATTAATTTATCAAAGTAGTGGTTAAGGCGATCAAATAGAACAATCTATGTTTGGTAGCTTTTCGAAACAACTTTCATTATCTAATTTCTCGGCTGAGAAGAACTCGAATCCATCCACTGAAAATTGTAGTGTCTCAAAAATAGTTCGTTGACAAAATAACTTGATCATGATTTATACAAGTAGGGATGAAGTTACAAGACTTTTACGCCCTAACTTTTATTAAATCATGCTATTTTATCGGTTCCAATTACGACTCTAAACAATTAATTAAATTTCCTAATAATTGAATTCAAATATTCACTCTTGGTCCTGTTATGACTCTCATACATTGGTCCTCTCTATTAAAGGAGGCTAACAAAATGTCTCATAAATTCGGAATTTGAATTATAAAAATTACATCTCATTTAAACAATGTCCCAAGTACCATCATCAAGTAATAAAATCTACATTGAAAACCAAGATTAAGTTATATGTGTCCAAAATTGTACCATTTCAACTCCAGTAAAAACTCCAGTTTTACAGTTGGAGGATGGGACCTTATAAAATGAATATACCCTTTCGAAAATCGTCCTCCAGTACTCTGCCCAAACTCAACCATATATTCCTAACTAATATCACAATACCATATAAAGGTTAGCTAACATATTTACATTGGATACATAAATAGAAGCCCAAGGAGGAGGAGGAGGAGGTGAAGATTGAAGAAGATGTAGGACGATGAGGAAGCAAAGCACAAGTGTTAAATGGGAACTAGACAAGTAGCATTGAATAGGAGGATTTATTGCAAGAGCAGAGATATGGGGTTGGTGGTCCTTAATAATAAGGGTAGATGTAAGTGAAAAAAGCCAAATTCAATAGGTAAAAATGAAAAAAATGGAAAATAAAAAGATGGGTTTTGTACTTTTACTAGTGTCTTATTTGGAAAAGGAAAAAAGTTACAATCTTGGGAGGTAAAAGAGCCAAAGAGTTACAAGTGGAAAAAAGGTGAGGAGTAAATTGTGAAGGGATGGGAAGATAGGAATGGGGAAGGGGATTGGGCATTTAAGGTCCTCAACTGTCCATCTTGCAAAGAATTGGGTTTAGAAAAGGACAATAAAAGTATTTGGTGTGTTGAAAAAATGATTCAGCTTATATATAATTGTCATTGTCCCCAAATCTGTAAAAATAAATAAATAAAGAGCAAAAAAGAAAACTTTGGTTCCCATCCATTCTGCAAGCATGTCTGTTGTTTCAGACAAAGATTTTGGGTATCTCTTGTGACAGCCTGGGAAATGGTTGCCTCCCCCCCTAAATTTATTATATATTACATATATGGTACCTTGTAATGTTTTCCTTTTATAAATTCTGCACAACCCAAATTAAAAACTTTCACAAGGATGGCATTGCCCAATTTTTGCATTTGCTTTAATGGGCTAGCTGCCTTTTCTTCTTCTGTTTTGCATTGCTATTGCAGTCTGTGGCTGCAACTGCAAACTGCATTGCCTCATTCACTCTGCCTACCACCTATGTTGAGTTACATAGTTTTGGGTTAAAACTTGCATGTGGCAGAAGAACACTTTAAAAAACACCATCCCGGCATTGCAACAATGGGGAGATTAATTTACAGAAGGCAATATGATACAAAAAAACAATAATGTGTGAACCAGAATGGGAAATGGGAAGGTGGGGAAATTCATTCACAGTTGATGTGTTGTGAATGCAGATGTGTAAACCCAAAAAGAAAGAAGATTGATATGTGTTAGTGTGAGAGTAAGCAGTAGTACCATTTTGTTGATGTAAGAAACCCAACCAAGCATGGGTTTGTGGGGGAAGAAGGGCAGTAATAATATGACAGATGGGGAGCAGGCCCCCCAAAAAATGACCTATTCTATGCAACTGATGAAAATGGTGTAAGAAAGTGATTGAAGAGTAACAGCAGATCTCAAAATATATGTTTTTGTTGGATCATAATGAACCCTACTCAACCTGGTTCATGCAATGCAATGAGAGATGATCTTCTTGTTATAAAACGAACGGATAGTTACTTGTATTATAACTTACCAGTGAGAGATCCTCTTATGACGAGAAGCGAACAAACAATTCTCCTTGACAAGGAAATAATAATTAAGAGTTCCAAAACAAATAATAATATGGCCATCATATCTCGTAGTTCGTGGCATTATTTCATTCAATAGCTTTTATACAAGAATCGTGCTAAGTTGAATTAACCTTTCTAGTTAGCTACTTGAAAATGTCAAAGTTGTTACCAGGGATGAGATATGACATTTCCAAATTCCAACTAGGGAGCAGCAGCAGGTACGTGCCATTAGCATCACATCTGCACGAGATTCATCTTCTTACCTCGTCCTGTATTCTGTATACAACCAAATACAGCACTGCAAATGGGGGAGAGAGAGAGAGAGAGTCGCCTTCAAACAATTTGCGTTAAAATTTCAGGCCCAACATGTCTCGTCTCTTCTCTCAATTGAAGTAACAGCAAACACACACACACATATATGATGAAGGTGACCGTCCGTAGGGCGGTGTGACGGCGACTTGCAGAGAGAGTTTTGGCGCGCGGTCTCCTTATTTCGATCCAAATGAAATGATTTCCTCTTCTATATACAGCACATAGGTGAAAGAAGAGAATAACAAGAAGATCATTCTGCAATTTGCATCCACGTTTTCGGGGCAAAAGAAACGAATTGGTGGTGGGGTGGTTGGGCTTTTCAGCAAAAGAAACGGCAAGCACTTTCGTTTTCATTTTTGTTTCGTTTTCCAGAAAGAACCAAAAAGATGAAAGGATGGAGAGAGATCTGGCCATGTTTGAGCTGAGCTAATTACACCCGTGAGTGAGTGAGCCTGTGCCTGCCTGCCTTTTGGTTCGCGATAGTACACATTGTTATATCATCAAATCATAGCTAAGGAGCGAGATGGGCTAACTGACTTTGTATGCATTTGCGTCGTCGGCTCGGCTGTCGTAAATATATGTATTGTGTACTCTGACGTCCATGACAAGAGGAAGAAGACAGATGATGAGAGCCAAGCAAGATTGCGATGGTTGAACCAGTGCTACATTCAACCCAACATGAAAGTAAGCAGAGAAAAGGAAGACCTTGTTCAGGGATGCGTCCTAACTCCTAAATATTCACCATGTCTGATTTACTAGCTGCAGACTACCACCTATCCTCCACGTATATGAACACCAAGTTCACCAAACTGATCGTCAGCTTCAACCGTATCAATCATTCATCAGACAAACAAACAGCATCCAGCTTTTGTTTAAGGATGTCTATGGCATTGAGCACCAACTGAGAAGCCTTTAACTGCACCGGTCTTCTCAACCGTGAATATGAAACTGTCCTTCTTAGCTTTAACCATCGATAAGCTCTGTCTTCCCCATTGATTCCAATTTCTTGATAACTTCATCATCGTAAGTATATGCTTCAGTATCCACAACCAAAACCCGCAAACACAATCGTTCAAAGAAAGCAAAACCACTTTGAAGCAATCTGATAAAACCCTAACATCAATTATTTGGTAAAGGACAAGGCAGCAATCATTCAAAATTCAAAGATGCATTGTTTCACCAACCTGTTGGGTATTAGGATCGATGGCGAAAACCTTAGTAGGGCTGCTCTCTACTATACTTTGCTTCTCCTCAAGTGACAATCTTGCCATCATATCTTCATTGATATTGATCTCTGGTTCATACATGAGAGTCACGGTGGCTGCTGGGGAACATTTCGCTTGATCTTTCCCAATACATTTCCTAGTTATAGCTCTGAGTCTTTAGTTCTTGCCCACGGCTCAATTTCACTATCATAACACCCCCTACAAACAGGAGGTTTCAAAAAACCATTATCACCATGGCTAACCACCAACAAAGGGGGATATGTAAGGTGGTGAACAGTTAGCAATTAGCCCCAGATAACCTGACCACCTAAAATTTCTGCAAACTCAATTGTTCCCCCTTCCCAAAGCCTTTCGAGGGAGCCTCCGTTGCTACCCATGTGCGATTATGAAACAGCAATACCGTCGATTTGCTAACTAGAACACCATGGGCATGCTAGGTTTCAGGAGCAATAACTTCCTATCTTGATTCTTGAGCAGCCTTCCGTAAGGAAATGTGACATTCTTACAACTAATGCAGCATCATTCTAAGTGTCAAAAGGGGGAACTTTTTCTCATAAACCCTAGGTATCCAAAACAGCATCACTCCAAAACCCAGCTCCAGATATCGCATGCAAAGCTGAGAAAAAAGTAACAGGGCAAGCAATGACGAAAGAATTCAGTAAGCCACGCATTACTTCTGCTCAGAGGAGTCATCGCCGGCAATTTCGTAGAAATCCACGGGAACCACAGTGTTATCAGAGCTGAGCAAATCCTTGCTGGTAATATCCTGGGCCTGGTAACTGCGTTCCTCCATGGCGGGCGCGGCTTAGGGGGGAGAGATATCGGAATCCGAGTTGGCAGCGGACCTCGCCGGTGAAATGCGAGTGAGATCGGAATTCGATGGTCCGACGCACTGACCTGGGTTTTGTGTTGACTGGAGAGAGGCCAAACAGCGTCGTTTGTTGATGGGCCGAAATGAGAAAATGAATGTGGATTTTATTAATAGCCCATATTCTGCTATAGGTGCCTTGCTTTCCATCGCGAACTGGGAGTGGGCTTGAATCTGGGCCACAGGTAATTTACTGTTAATTTTATTTCGATCTCCTATGGCTACTCACGCTCTGTTCTTGTCGCTAGGGATGATAGTAGAACCCGAATCTGCGGGTATCCTATCCGGCGTAACTCGGTCAACGAGGACAAAATTCGCTTTGACGGATTGCGGGCCGGATTCGGGTTTAAACCCACTATACTTTTAGTGGGTTGGATTTGGGCTTAGTCATATCCAACCCGTGGATATCCACACTCAACTCCATACCCTCACGACTCACGGGATCCTTAACTAATTAATTATAATTTCTAAACTAATTTCTCACATGTTCAATTAATCATATTGTTTGTGGATGTTTATCTTTAATATTGAACAATTCGTATGAATGATTTGTGAGTTAGTGAAAACTAGTGTGATTGCATCTTTATGACATGAACTCATGGGTACCCATGAACCCGCAGATACCTAGCAAGTTGAGTTGGGTTTGAGTTTTCCAAATCTAGTGGGTTTTACTCCAGATTTTTTTGGATATACCCCTTCGATTCGGGTTTGGCATAACTTGCTCCAACCCGACCCATTGCCATCCCTACTTGTCGCCTCATTTGCTTGAGGTTCGACTTTTTTTCTTTGTTTCGCAGTAGGCATGATTCTATTGTAAGTCTCGTATCTTTGTTTGTTCCTCCTATTTAAGAGTGATCTAATGAAATTTTTTTTTATAAAAAAGTGGTTTGTAATTTGTGTAGCCAACTTCTCACATTATCTGTCCGAAAGTGGATAGAGTGCTAACATCATATAGTATTAGTATTATGCTAACACATCGATATTAACATCTCATTCCTGCCTCACCCCAAAACCTATAATCGACACTCGCTAGAAAACATCCCTTGCTTCATCCTCTCTTGAAGAACCCCCCAATTTCATGTTCCCTTCCAAGAAGGTCCTTCGTAGCGGTGTCATCCTCAATGCAATCGACAGAACCGTGATTTTCATCGACGAAGGAAGAGATTTGAGTTGCGATTAGTGATGAGAGATCGTTGCCTCCTTGGACGGCTTCTTTGATGTTTTTTTCTTGAACGAACAGTTTCAAATCTCTCCCCGATGAGATACGCTTCAGACAATGCCACCGACACCTAGTGAAGCATGGAGTATTTAGGGCTGATGCAAAAGGTACAACTGGAATCGATTTCCGGCACTCCGCAACATCGCCATGCTAGATTCTTTAAGGCTGGCGTCGAGGAGCACCATCGCGACCACTGCGGCTCCACACAACGTTGTGGAGGAGGAATCAAGAAGAAATCGTTGATGAGGTTGTGGTCTCCTTTCTAAGGTTTGCAGTTTTCTTTTACTATGGTTTCTTGTGATTGTGGTCTGAAATTTTATGGTCCCCTAATTAATGTAACCCTCCCCCCATTTAATGCGCAAGTTATGATGATCCTTTCTCCCAGATATTTAATAATATTAAGCTCGCCCCTCCACTACTTCTCCCTCATTAATTGTGGCCAACCCATTTAAATTAAAAAAATTATCCAAACGAAATATTCCTATCTACTGGCCTCTCGCCCTCTCCCTATTCTGACTTTGTGGTCGAGATGATCAAGATATTTAATAGATAGACTGCTTGTTCTCTAATTATCATAATTACGAATTAATTAAATCTCAATGATGGTGATCTAATAAAAAAATACCGATTGATTGTAGAAAAAAAAATTATACACCATTTAACATATACAAGTCCCTGCCTGCCAGGAACATTTTTTTGAAATTATGAGCTTGGGTGACAAATGACTCATAGTTTTTTTTTACTGGATCATGAAAACTATAAATTTCATGCAAATTCGAACATCGAGCTACTGTTGATGAGTGACTGAACTCCCAAGTTTTTATCCGATACTTGATGTGTATTGATGAAGGATATTTCCATATATATGAGTTAGATTGTTACTTTTCTAGAGCGACTCTATCCAATCCTGCATGCCTAAAATTACAAGGCGCTAGCGAGTTGAAGAAAGAGCAAGGACACTGGGAACAGTGCATAAACATTTAGGTTAGGACTCTATGCTTCCTCTTTCAATGACATTATATTGCCCCTCAGCCTCAAATTTACCGTCACCAAAAACTAATAAGTTTGTCTTTGTGGGATTCAATGTACGGAATTGTGGGTTGGTTTGGTTTTGGTGATAGTTAAATTGATGAATTATTATCAATGCATGCATAATAATATATATGTATATGAGAAAATTTGGGTATTGTATTTTGCATCGTTTGGTTTCTATGATAGTTATTGTAGTATTTAAATAAGTTATATTCCTTTTTGGGTGAAATATCACTTTTACCCTTTGTTTTAAATATAAAAAATGCAACACACATGAAAAGGTAGAGACATAGTTGGAAGAAGAAAAATACCCAACAATCTCAAACAAACAATCTCAACAATCTCACTCAAAAGTTGAGATTTATTCAAAAGTTGAGATTTAACTATCACTCATTTTGAGTAATAGTTTGTGTCAAATCAAGCAAACAATGCATGTATTGTTTGTGCAGAAAATTCAAAAAAACAATACATTATGAACAATGCATGCATTGTAACTATCCCAACCAAACAATCACCAAAACCAAATGAACTCGTAGTTTCTGAAAAAGGGATGATGATAGAACCTAAAATTAGGGTTCTATAGGGAATTGGGGATTTAGGGATGAAGAACAGAATTAGGGATTTGAGAAGAGAAGAATAGAGAATCGGCCTAGGCCTTTTGAGGGATTGGGAACGAGAATTGAGAGGATTGGGAGAATAGGGTTTAGGAGAGGGTTTCTTAATATTCTCTTTTCATTGATTCTGAATAAAACGCAAAGTACATGTTTATAACGAAAGACTGGGAAACCCTAATAGACTATCCTAATATAGCTCAAAGACTAATAACTATATCTAGATAAATCCTAATAATATTAATATTGATAATTATGGTTAAACCTAAAAAGTAGGTTTCCATCATCCCCTCCCCCTTGAAAACCAACCTTGTCCTCAAGGTTGACCAACTCGACCCACTTCTTCACATAGTTCGTGCAACCCGCGCATTTGATCCTCCCTTTCTTGCGCTTTCTTTTCTTCCAATCTTGCTCTACTACTTGACGGGTACCTCTTGCGTTGACCTTCTTGTGCTGGTCCAACTTTTCGAACTTCACTTTCATGGGCCCATTACTTGCTTCATTCTTGTACACGGATCCATCCTTGAGTATCAATCTGTCAAGAACTTCAAATTCTATGATGATGGCCCATGCAGCTTCACTCTCCTCACTTGGGCTTTTTGCAAACCCAATAAACCCATCTTCTTCCAAGCTCACATTCTTTAAAATGCTCACCTCGTTGGGCTTAAACCCTTCCTGACTTGGCCCAACCCAAGATAATATAGCCACTATTAAACTGCCCATACGTGAGCCGAGACTTAGCCGTTGCGAAGGCCAGTTCGATTCCATCTTCAGCCCATAGTTTGGCCTTTGTACCAAAGCCTCGTTCGAACCAAAGAATGACCCAAAAACTGGTTCTGACTCGGCCCAATCACCTCCAAATTCTGGCCCGTGGGCAGGCTCTAGCTTGGCCCATTTTGCTTCTACCTTTAGCCCTCTAGGCTGCTCTTTTCGGGTCATAGAGAGCCCAACGATCTCTCCCTTCCTTCCTAGTCCATGACCGAAAATGTGGTTTTCTTTCTTCAACAAACAATCCACTCTCCTTGGCCCAACAAGGCCCTCAGCTCCATCCGAACCCACGGCGTCAAGTCCAGTCCCGCTCCACTGCTTCGGCTAGCCCAACATGAGCCACTGAGAAACCCTACCCGAACCAGGTTTCGATTCTTGGAAGTGGCCCGGTGAAGTTTCAGGGGAGGGAGATTGCAGCCGCCGCTCACACAAAAAAGGGACGTTGCCGCCGCCTTCCTCCTTGTCCTCGTCTATCGGCAGCTTCTTCTTCATCGTCCTCCCCGCCGGCAGCACCAACTCTGTTACTTCCGAAGCCCCTTCCGCGATCCGCGACGCCGCCACCCTCCGCTTCGCCTCCATGTCGATCAACGCGACTGCCAAAGCCACCTACAGTCGCCCCTCCTTTGTTCTCCCGGTCGGCGACGTGATTCGAGACTCCGGCAAGGGGTTTTCCTGCCCCACTTCGCTGCTGTCACGATCGCCGCCGAGGAAGATCTGCCTCGCTTCCAGATGTCTTTGCTCACCTCCGAGATCAGCACTCCCGGTGCGGCCGTCGTCGGGTTTGTCATCACCGGCGTCGCGCAAGGAACTGCCGGCGGAAGCGGAGCCTCTAATCCCTTCGCGATCGGCGACCGTGTTTCCTTGCTCGATACTCGAATAGTGCGAGAAAGGGAAACGTCGTCGCCCTCCGTCTCTTCCTCCTCCGGCAGCGCGCATCTCACCAGTCGACAAGTGTGTCGTCGCTCTTCTGGACTCGGCTTTGGCGGTGGTTCTTCCACCATCTCCCAGTCCGCTACTGCCACGAACGGATTCCCCTGCGACGCCGCTGTGAGGAGAATCGCAGGGTTCACCCTCGATTTCTTCTCCTCGGTGACCCGCCTCTTTCCCTTCTCCTTCAACTTCTTCTCCAGCCCATTGTACCTGGGCACGGCGGTTGGAGTGGCCGTAAATCTCGCCTCCACAGCAGCTGGAACTTCAATATCGACTGCGTCGAGTGGAGTTGATGGTTTGGTGATCGAAATTGTCGCCGCTGCTGTCGACGTCAGTAGCGGTTGAACCTCGATGATGGTTGTGAA